TTTTTTGTACATTTTATATTAATTGTATTTTCTTATAAAAAGATAATAGAAAAATTTTAGACCTTTTTTTACAGAAATGGTACGTTTTTAAACCAATTACAGAAAAAAATTTTCAAGTGGCAACCGTGGTTATAATCAAACAGACAAGTGGCAACCATCTGGGTTGTAAAGCCGCACATAAATATACTCGAGTTTTTAGTTCTCGAGTTAGTTCGAGTTCTTCTTAGTGAATACCTATTAGGGCTCAGAATCAAAAAAGCAAAATTCTAATCCATTTTCTAAACAACGTTGGTTAGAGAATGGCTTAATTATTTGGAGCATAACTTAAAAAGGGCAACTGATCGATTACTGGATTAAGTAATTCAACCAGTTAGCTATATAGTATGTGACTAATACAGGACTATAAATAATAACATAAAACTCTTAAACAAATTAGCTTAAATGAATTAGAAATGTGAATGTCAAGTTGTTTTCAAGATGTTAGTTGACTTAATAAAGCTTGAGTATCAAGGTAAAAATATTCAACAAGATCAACCGTTCAATTTTAATTTAATTAAAATATTATTTATCAATGCTTAAAAAATATCTAATTAGTTAATTAGTTGAAAGAAAAAATAAGTATTATGGAGAGATGAATATATAAATGAAATTATATTGAACTTATTTTGTAAGAAATATATGTATACATTCTAATAAATTGCACTGAATTATGTATATTATTATGACTTTTTTCAAGATACCGATATATCAAATAAATATCGCTACTAATGACAGAATTGTAACGAAATCCACAAAAATCATTTATAATACTAAACACTAATAAGTTGGCTTAAGAAAACTTAACTTACGCGAACACTAAGTAAAAAGTTATTCTCACCGTTGGGAATAAATACCAAAACTGTTGTAATTCGTAAAGATAATGAAATACCCCACTCGACACAAGCACGCCTACATGAAAGTTGACTTCAAAACTAATTAATTAATTAGTTCACCATATTATGTACCGAAAATATTATAAGCAGAGAGACACATAGATCAACTATACTTTAGTTATAAATTAATTTAGAATTTATATTTTAATACTTTAATATTATTTTCTGTCTATACATAAGTAACATCCTTAAGTGGCTTTGTTGCTCTCTGAGGTAATATAGTATGTGGCGTCTCAATTTATTCCGAGTCGTTCTATTAACTGTAATGAAATGATTCCTTATCTGTCTGTTGTTCGCTTTATTTTTATCCAAGTAGCAAGTAACATACTTGTAAGTGGCTTAAAATTATTTAATTAGGTTTTCCATATTTACTCTCGTATGCCAATACACATGTGAACAGGCGTGGAAAGATACTCAACTTATTCTGTTTAACTTTGTTTATGCGCAAAAAGTTTTTAAGTAGCTTGGTTCGGTTTTAATGAACTAAAATTGGTTAGAAGGTCTCCAAAGCTCATTTTACATGGTAAAAAACGTTTTTAATTAATTAACAAACAGTGAACTTAATTAAATTTAATAGAAGTTCTTTATATGTGTATAACATTCTTGTTGATTTTAAAATAATTTTTTACACAATTTGTAAGTATTTTATGTTAATTTTAGGCTTTCAGGATACACTATTCACTTTTAATAATTTTTAATGGCAATGTTTGCATCATTTATATTTAAAAAAATATATGGTACATTATAATTGATAGCATGTGTAGTGTACTCTTTGAACGAGTAGCTCTGTTGTTCAAATAGTTCATGGAAAAGAAATAAGGAAAACGAATTTTTAGTGCTAAAAATGTTTCTAAAATTGCTACTCTTATCCCTAAGTGATTTTATATTATTAATAACACTTATTCGGATTCATGTAGAACTTTGAATTCTTTGAAATGTTTAACAATTATTGTTTTTATACTGTATATAATTAAACTGCCGCTGCCAAGAATTAAATGACCTCAATTAAACGAAGGCGCTCCTCTCCCTGACATTTACTTCTCAGATAAAAATGTTCAACTTGCTACAGTTAAACTGACAATTAAACAAAAATACCTGAGCAAAGTCAAGGTCAGATATCTAGTTTGACTTGGTCTAATTTAGACAAAAAAACGCACTAGTCAGCTACTTGAGCTAAGGTGGAACCTGCTCAGTACCACAGCATTTGCTCTGACGGGTTAGTGTGAAATAGAAAGGCATGCTATGAGACTGGATCCACCCTATGATGACTTTTGTCGCGGTTGTGGCTTTGAAGATGAGGAGGAAACCTTGTTCTATATCATGTGTCAGTAGCTGTCTTTAGCTAGAAGAATATCAAAAATCATCTGGGCCGCTTATCCTACCGATCTGATCAAGCTGTCGTCCTGTAATGTTAGGGACGTAGCCAAATTCACTGAATTGTCAGGTTGGTTTCCTTTACTTAATATGGGAGTCGTTACCGTTTTCAGCATTGTTCGTATCTTTGAACGTACCAATGCTATTCTTGTGGTACCACAATAGGTCATTATTTGAGCTCAAGTGGGGTTTTTGGAAACAAGACCGTCACTCCAGCCTACCTACCTATCTGGTGTAACATAAGACTTTCTAATCAAAATTTCAATATATATACAATTTCATATTTCATTAGCAATTCAACGTCCATGGCTAACGAAATGTGAATTTCGAGTAAAGAAAACTTTACGGGTGTGGTAAAAATCTCCATTTCTACCACAAACCTTTCTTCCATGGCTAAGAAATTAACATTTCGTTAGCAAACTAACTGCCCACGTGCAAATGTGAAAACAACTTACACTTCTCCCATACTCTGTCTCTGTTTTCCACTGTTCCAGACAAATAAATTTATTCAAGAACTGTATGTGGAAGCAAGAAGAACCGGAGAGTGAAATATTGACAAAAAAGGTTTGATTCCCACTAGTTTATTTAAAAGTACAGCTGTCATGAAATGTCGAAAATGAGATAGCTGAAACACGATATATAAGGAACGACATCTATAGAGAAGCATCAAATAGAGTTAAATTTAGAAAAATTATTGAGGCCATGTGCAACACTGGGGGAAGCGGATGACAGTAGTATTAATGAGTGAACATCAAGTTTTTCCACGAGTTGCTGACATTTAATAACAACCGATCGCGTGGTTTCAAAAAAAAAAATTTTCAAAAATAAATAAACAAAATAATTTTAGTTTTATTTTTGAAAACAATAGAAATTTGTGGTAAATAAACAAATAAATAACAAACATTTTTTTGTCTATTTTAATCATTTCGAAATATTTTAAAAACAATTGATTCTTTAATCAAACGCATGGAAGACAAGTTTCGTTGGATGCTTGGATTTTGGCATAAACGCCTATTATTCACCGCCTCCAAAGTCATGTAAATTAAAAAAAATTACTATTATTTTTATTTTTTAACAATTCATTTCCGTATTCGAAAAAATAGTGTCTTTTGTTAAACAATTAACAGGTTTCTACTCCACAATTTCTTATAACAAAATTAACAAAATTTTAATCTCAGAGGGAATTAAAATATTAATCTCTTCTTGTGGTTTAAGTTTATTGATATCAGATAATAAATTTAAATCCAAAACTCTTGCTAATTTGCAAATTTTGCACATAAGTTTAAGTTTCATTTAAATCTCATTTAAATGAAATATTATTATGTTTAAATATTTTTGTATGACTAATATTAAGAATTTCATATAAAAGTGGAAATATTATGAGATGTAAGTTTCCATTGTCACTGTTTGTTTTTATTAAGACTTGACGTAG